CAACCACTTTATGGGTGAACTTAATCCTTGATCCACAATATGAAACCTATACCTGATACCATTATCAGACCAAGACCCTATGGCCAGACTGGTCATGGACCATAAGGAAGCAGCTACTACTATTATGCTAGTAAACAGATACAGTGTTAGACTGTCTCCTAGCCATTTACTATATGAGCAGAACAGTGCATCTCTCAGTTCTCACCAGGTAATCTCTTAGTTACAGTAGGTGATAGAGAGACCCACAACTGGCCAGGATGCAGAAAATAGGACACTTGAGAACGCTGAGCCTGAGTAGCACATCTATACTGGATCCTTATTTCCAAGGCATAGGGTCATTGAAGAAGAGGGAATATAAAGATCTTAAGAGCCAGATGTGGTGTGACTATAATAAGTAAATTGTGTCTTCTTGACACGACAGGGCAAATTCACACATGAGCTCATAGAAGTTGTGAACAGTATTTACACACAAGTCTTTTGTAGGTCCAAGAAAGACCAAATCCCAACATGGAGAGTGGAGATGGAGATAAAATTGCATTCCTGGATGCAGAGCTGATAGCAATTGATAGTTGTTGGGAGAAGAAAAAGTTAAGTTTTCTCTAAGAGTGTAGCCCCTGGTATCTTGACTAATAGAAGACCACACATGCAAGAATATCTGGACTGCATAAATTAGTCTTCATGGATTAAAGAAATAGAAAAGAAAATGACACAAAAGTAGTTGGGGAAGGGGATGGATCTGGGAAGAGTTGATGGAGAAAGAGTGAGTATAATCAAAATATACTTTAAGAAATTCACAAAGAGTACACATGGAGGGACCTATGGCTCCAGCTGAGTATGTGGCAGAGGATGGCCTTGTTGGACATCAGTGAGAGGAACAACCCTTGGTCCTGTGGGGGTTCGATGTCCCACTGTAGGGGAATGCCAGGATGAGAAGGAGGGAGTGGATGGGTGGGGGAGTACCCTCAGAGAGGGCAGGGGGAGGTGGGATGGGATAGGGGCTTTTGGAAGTGAGACCTGGAAGGGGGATGAAATTTGAAATGTAAATAAAGAAAATATTTAAAAAAAATGGGCCTGGGACAATGCCTTAAAGTAAAGTGCTTGCTGTGTTAGCATGTTGGCCTGAGTTTGACTCGTAGAGTCCACATTGAAAATAATAGATGTCCTAAGAAGAATAAGTTAGTCCTAGATTTGCCAGTATTGGAGAAGCACATGTCTCCCTTGGTTGGATGTCATACATGTCACCCAGTGCTCCTTTTCATTGCTTTACTGTTGTGTGTTCCCTGGTATCCTTGATTGTCAAAGTGGTGAGTTACAACAATCAGAACATGCAACACAGCATTATGTGCTAAGAGCCTCTTACCAGGGTATTTGTAAGCTGATAGTTTGTGTATACTTTCATGTTTGGTGATGTTTTATGGCATATAAATCTAATGGGTTCTGGTTTTGTAAGTGTGGATGTGACTAGACTTTCTTCCTTATAATCCTGTGACCCTACTGCAAAGCTAGACTTAGAAATCTTGTCTTTTTTAGGAATAAGGAGCCTATAAATAAAATCTAACATTAATGATAGTAATGCCATGGATAAGCTTTTATAGTTTCAGTTTTGTAGTTTCAATTTCATGTAGCATAAACAAAATAGGATTTTTGAACACTAGCTAATATGTACTGAGGAAATAGTTAACAATCTTGGCATAAAACTGAGTTGAAGAATGGATGGTTAACTCTTGGTGCTACAAAGGTCCAGGTACTTCATCTAGTTTATTTATAGTGAGGATTCTCAACCAGACAGTTGTCTCCCAAGAAGTATCTGAATGATTATTCTTGGTTAAAAGGAGTAAGAAAAACAAATACAAGAGAGAGAAGATGATTTGGTAGGGACTGGCAGAAGACATACATAGAATAAAAAGTAAGGGCAGAGCACTTTCTTAAAAAAATTCTCAGCTTAGTATTTATTTCTTCTAAGCAAAATAAATTTGGTTTCTTAAAGTTTCCATACATTGTCCTAATAAGCTTTTTATAGATAAACATCTAATGATTTCTTTGATTTTCATTGTGACCCCTGTACTAGATGGCTTATAATCATCTTGGAAGTTTTGTGGTTCTTTTATATTCATATTATCCCAAGTAATTTTTTCTCAGATGTTTGGGAATTACTCTAAATAAAATGTATTGATTTTCTGTAATATAGCAGTTACTAAGTGTGGGACTAGAATTCATGACCAACCTGTGCCTTAGAATTTATTACTTTGTATGGTCTGTGCATTGACTGTACAGATGGCCTTCATGTGGTGCCAGCTGGGACACTAGCATTTCTAGAATCCAAAATGATCTCAGCTGTGTGGTTAGAAAGCAGTGCCAGTGTTGACTGGGAATTCAGGTGAGGAATTGATTCTTTGCCTTGTGCGTGGTTCTGGTTGTTGCTTGGGTTTCCTGATGTCATAGTGGTATGACTCAAAAAAGAGATTTCCATGTGAATTTCCATAATAGAAGCTGTGAATCACAGATGATACAGAGGATCACTTCTTCCAAATTACATAAAAGTCAGCTCAGATATGGGAGGACTGAGATGATGTCACCCTCACTGAGAGAGGAGTGTAAAGAAAATAGACATCTTTAATCAATAACATCTGTTAGTCACAAGATACTCATATTTTCAACCTATGTAGGAGGTACTAAATTCTTCATTCCATTATAGCATCAGGATAAAGTTCAAGGGTTCTCAACATTTGGATCAGGTCTCGGTGTCACGAAGGCTTCTAAGGGTAACTTAGGTATGAACATTGAATCTAAAAAATAAGTTATTTCTTCCATATAATCCCAAGATGAAGGGAGGCTGACTGTAGAAGACAATCCTGTTCAAATGGTGCAGGTAGAATCTACCCAGATGCCACTAAGACCTAGAGAGGTGTGCCACCTGGTTCCCTGCTCTGGTAAAAGAAAATGCCTTGATATTTATTTATTTGTTATGGAGAATGAGTCTTCCTATACAGCCCAAGCTGGCCTTGAACTCCATCCTCTTGCCTCAGCCTCCCAAGGCTGTAGTTAGGTGTATGCACCACCATGCTTAACTGGGAATGATTGATTAAGGTTTTGTTTGTTTGTTTGGGAATGGTTCTTTGTGGTTCTTAGCTTTTCTCTCTGATCATCCTTTTAAAATATGAGATATGACCTAGATTTTAACTTTAAAAAACGTTTTGTTGTTTCTTTGTGAGATTCACATCATGCACCCCAGTCCTGCTCATCATACACAATTAAAAGGTTAATTAAAAAAACTTCTTTAATAATAGCTTGTATCCAATTCTGGTGTGTAGTGACATTTTTGAAAATTCTGGTTTCTTTAAAAGACACAGAAATATTACAAGTGTGTGCTATCGTTTTAATCCCAGGTGTAAGGATGTGAGGCTATTTCTCACTGTCTGCAGTTGCTAACCATGATTTTCTTTGTGCTCTAGCAGAAGCATGGTTTTGCCGCTACAAATTTTTGTGTCGGTGTGACATTTGTGATTCTGGGAAATTTTTGGAGGGTTTACAAGTGTGAGGACCCCTAGAGGGAAGGTGGAGGGTTGTTGGTCTTTTAGGAAGGTTGGTTGGGGATTTCCCAGCTTGCTGAGGCATGGAACAATAAGAGGAGGCACAGGTGAGGCTCAAGGCTAGAGGCAGAAAGTTCTATTGACCTTGGTGGAAGTAACAGGAAGGTGTCTCTGGATAAGAACTGATGTTCTGTGTATATTTTAGGAAATTGTTTCTGTTAGCTTGAGGCTTTGCTTCCCATAGTACTGTGGGGTATAAAAAGTATCTACCCTTCACTCTTGCAACCCGCCCAGTAACACACACAACACAACACACACACACACACACACACACACACACGCACAGGAGCAAACAAACAAACAAACAAAAAACTCAATGCATAGAAAAACATCTACTCATTGGAGCTGTAGTATACCGTAGCATATCCCTCTGTCCACACATCTTTCTTTACTGGCAAATGTTCTTTGCAATGGTTCATTGGTCTGGTTCAGGATCTCTGGCTTCTGTGACACCATCAATGTTGGGTCCTCATTAGGACTCCTCCCAGTTATCCTGTTATTATGCTCCATCATGGAGATCCTACAGCCTTGGAACAGCAGGACTGACTTTTTCATGAATTCCGACCATCCACAGATAATATAGATTTTGGGGTGGGCCATTGCAGAGCCCTGAATTTGGACCTGGGTGGTAGCTGAGCTGGTTAGTCCACTGGTCTCCCTTATCTGCACACCAGGCTGAGCTCTCCAGTGCTGCTCTAGCTAGGCCACACAATGTCACCATCAGCAGGAAGCAGAGTCAGCTCCCCTGCTCTCATGCCCTTGGGGCTGGCTCATCCAAATCCATGCCTTCAGAGCCGGCTAGCTGCACTGTGCTGTCCAGTCAAGGCGAGGGCACACTCTCTCAAATGCTTCAACCTACAAGGCGACAGGCCAGCTCTCCTGCTCTCATACCTCAGAGATGGTTCACCCATGCCTTTGCCAGCTCCATTGTGTCGCCCAGGTGAAGTGCAGGGCCTGCTCTTCTGAGTACTACAGCCAGTAAGGGGGCAGGGCTAGCTCTCCCATGCTCTTGCCCTCTGGACCAGCTCTCCCAACTGCCACAGGTGGGGGCTGTGGGGGGATGCCCACACCTATGCCACCTCAGGGCAGAAGCATGGTGAGGCTCTTGGGGTCCACTCACTTGTACCTGCCACCAGAATCAGCTCTGCTGTACTGGCCCGGTGAGGTGCAGGGCTCACTACAGCTGGTTTTGGGGAGGACTAGCTCTCCCATGCTTCTGACCCTATGGACAGCTTTCCTGACTTTGGGCATCAGCTTTCCCACATCCATGCCCTTGTGCAGACTCACCCACACCCCAGTCACCAGGGCCAACTCTACCGTGCTGCCTGCTCATCTTTCCCTACCAGCAAGCACTGTGTGACATAGCAAAACACAACCTTCTCCTGTGGCACTTGGAATTTGATTTGATTTTTATGTGTCCTAGGCATGAAACAGGTTTGGCCACCAAGCCAGGCATCAAACTAGGATGAACAGAGGACTGCCATCTGCTCTGCCCCTGGCTAGTATAAGAACAACATGACCAACAGTGTGTCTATTTGCCCATTACCGGAAGGGTAGCTTACATATATATTTCTAGGCTCAATTTCTGACTATAAAATGCTTAAAATAGCTGATTTTGATTCAAGCTAGTATCCTAGTAATACTATTTTGTTAATTTGGTGACTTTCATGTGAATCTTATTTGAATTCACCCTATTAATCAAAACTTACCTAAAAATCATTTTGAGATAGTCCCTTGCAACGTAGGGCTCTGTGAGACTTGCTCCGGATTCTTAGTAACATTTTTGTTTATAGGATCCTGTCTATGATTCATACTCTCAAGATTCTTATATGGCTGGGGATATAATGGGTCAGTCCTTGTTTTGAAGGCCTGAGTTTGATCACTGTTACTGAGTGGGGAATCCCTATAATCTTTCTTGTTTAGGGGAGTAATGGAGCGCCTTGTGAGTCTTGGGAAGGCTTTTCTATTGATATATGGTCTTGAGGAAGCAGCTTGAAGACTTCCTGAGGTTTTAGCACCCAATCTTCTTACCCTTGACTTAATCTTAGCCCCAAGGACACATTTTAGGGATGGTGCCTTAGGTTTGGTAGTTGCCCTGAGGCTGTTTCTTGAGAAATGATTGCCAAGCCAGTTAGTTCATTTGTTTCTTAGACAACTTCAGTGAGCATGCTGGAAGCAGCGTGTCCTTAGTGTAGCACTTTGAAGTGTAAAAATCTGACTTCTTCCCTGGTTGGTTTGGTTAAGATGATAACTTAGGCAAGGTGATGTCTGCTGTTTTTGTTATCATAAAGCTGTTACCAGGACACATTGCAAACATTCAGTTGATTGTTGCTTAGGAGAGTCATATGTTTGGATTCTAGTGAACGCTGTCTAAGAACGTGGTTGTAAGCAGACTGGAAAGATGAGGTCACTTGAGAGTCACCATGAGTATCTTGAAAATCTGAGGGGAGAGAAATCTGAAAGATCTTCTTATAGTAAAGTGAATAAAAATGCAAAGGACTCCTGAGCATTGTGTGCTATGCTGAGGGACCAGTAGGTAGCTGTACTCATAATGCAACCTAAGGTCACTCCCATACTGTGCTGGGGAGCAAGGCTCTGACGTGTAGAAGAGTTACATTTAACTGGATGAAGTTTGCCTGGGCCATTGCAAAAGTACAACACAGTACAAGAGAGAAAAGCGGCAAGAGAAAGTTGAGAGTATGTAGAGGTAGGTGACTATCATGATTATCAAAGAATATTAACTGGTTTGGGAGGATATGATAGAGGTGAACAGCAATGAAAATTTCCAATAAGGGGCTCAGTAGGTATAGCTTTGATCTTGCAGAGGTCTTAGGTTCGATTGCCAGCACCTATGTGGTGGCTCACAGTTATCCCAGTGAGCCTACACTGTCTTCTGATCTCATGGGCCCCTGGCATGCATGTGGTACATACCCTCTTATGGATTAAATAAAGCCCTCCTATAAATTAAATAAATCTAAAAAGAAAAAAAAACAATCAAAAAATTTCAACTAGGAATTCTAGAGAAAATACTTGAAAAGACAAATTAGTGAATAGGTAGTGAATTGATTGGAATCAGATTATCAAAGTTGTGTGAAATCACTTAGAGGCAAGCTTGTTATCATATCAAATTTATAATCTCTATTTTAAATATGGATGGGTTATACTCATAAGGATTAAATTAACCAAAGTTATATAGCTAGTAAATGGCACCTATACAGCTAGTAAATCAAATACTTAGCCTCACCTCCCCACTTTCTAGTATTAGACAAGCTACTTCTGACTCATGGTAGTCTCCCAGGAAACAAAGCACCATCATTGTTTTGGCAGAAACTGTTTGTTGTTGTTGTTTAGGGTTTCAAGAGGAGGTTTTGCTTTGTAGCCCAGACTGGTTTCAAACTTGCTGCAATCCTTCTGCTTCAGCCTCTTGGATTCCTAGATTACACATATGTGACGCCATGCCATGCTCTGTGGTATGACTGAGAACATTTGCATTGTGTTTATTTAACTATTCTAGGTTTATTATAGCATGGAATGAAAAGAGGAATAGAGCTCAGAACTCATTCTTACTTTTTAATATATTTAATTTCATTTCATTTTTATGTGTGCATTGGTATGAGGCTGTCAGATGACCTGGAACTGCAATCAGAGACAGCTGTAAGCTACCATTTGGGTGCTGGGAATGAAACCCTGATTCTCTGGTAGAACAACCAGTGTTCTTAACTGCTGTGTCAATGCTCCAGCTCCCACATTCCTAATTTGAAAAACATTACTTCCTTCAGAAAATAGAATTTGGTTTAGAGTTAGAGTTTGATTGAAAATTGTTTCTATCTTTTAAAGTTCATAAAGAAGCATCCATATTCAAGGTATGAAGTCAGCTGTCACTGTAGAGTAAACTTCTTTCTGTACATTCATGGTAGGATAACATTTTCTCTATGCAATGGAGACCCAAGCATCTCCTATGCTTACAGTGATCCAAGAAGACCCTTACTCTGCAATAAATAAACAATACTGTCTTGAAGAAAAAGACAAGATAATCTCTATCACTTCTCTTTCATGATGCTTTATGAAAATGTACTTAGACTCTGTTAATGGCAATAAGTATTATTTTACATTTTAATAGAGGGAACAGAGATATTTTTAATAGAAGGGTTTTCAGTTTAATTGTTAAAGTAACAATACTTAGCATACTTCTACAGTACTACAAACAAACAAAAACAGAATTGCATGAGCTGTTTCTGGCGTAAATTACATGGTGCCTTTTCAAGCAGTGCATGTAGCTGTGGATGCCTGATTGGAAAGGCTACGCGATTCCCGAGCAGAGGGATTTTCTTCACTGTAATTAGTATTGCTGTGATTCATACTGTCTTATTGCCTAGATTTTATAATTCACGTGAAAATATTCCCTTGACATTTGGAAACACAGAAGACTTCAAATTTGTTTTTAAGGAGTTAAGATCATTATTACTACTGTTACGACTGTTGTTTTTCTAAAGTCTATTTTCCTAAAGGCCATTTTAAATCACATTCATACCGACTTGAAGGTGGAGATTTCCCAGTGGCAGTGATAGGAACAAGACAACCAGACACAGCCTCAGTGCTGGACAGGTCTGGATCCGTGGACTTTTGCTGCAGAGATTTGGAGCTTCCATTTTGTTGTCTGCCTTCTGTTTCTCTCTTTTGCATCTGTCTGCCTTGCAGCTTCGATTTCCTTTATCAGCTCCATGGCTTCCTCCTCCCTTTTCCTAGAATTCACTAGTTCACACTTCCAAGAGCAGGAACTTGGCTGGCTGTGCTAATTAAACATTGCCCCTGTATGAGAGTGTTTCTTTCAGGGAAGATGTGTCATACAACACCAAAGCCACAGGAGGGCCTTCTGCAGAATCCTGGCCAGCACTTATCCTGTTTACAATATGTGTTGGGTTAAGTAAGTGTGGTATGGATACTGTTGCAATCCCCTATTTTATCTGAGGTGGGTCTGTACAACACCAATGGCATTTTGTCAGAAACACATGGAAATGTGTGAAATATTTGATATACCTAAAAAAAAAAAAAAAGCAGAAAGACTACTGTTGGTTGTCTAGTCAACTGTTACTCTTTCTACTGCTCTCCTTCACTTAATCCAGTTCAACTCTGAGTACTCATGGTGCTCCATGAAGGAGAATCTTGAGTAAACTGACATTTAGTAATAAATGTCCTCGTCAAAGGATTGGTTTATGTAGGGACATGTAATGTAATTCTAGAAAAAGACACATGAGAAGATGAAAGCTATGCGTTTTGTAAAGCATTTGCTTATCTGTTTAAGAAGTGTTGTAGACCATCAAGTGTGCTTACCTGCCTGCCTGCATGGATACATGCATGCATTCCTCCCTGCATCCTTCCCTCCCTCCCTCCCTCCCTCCCTCCCTCCCTCCCTCCCTTACTTCCTTACTTCATGAGGTTCTTACAAATTGCTGCAGTTACATTAGGGCCATTAGAGTTGCCAATTGAGAGGACAGGTCAACCATTACACTGATTGATAGCAGAACAGAAAGATTAAAATTCTCTTGGGGCTGGAGAGATGGCTCAACCAGTTAAGAGCACTGGCTGCTGTTCCAGAGGGCCTGGATTCAATTCCTAGCACCCATGGCATGGTTCACAACTATCTGTAACTCCAGCTTCAGAGGATCTGATGCCCTCTTTGGGCCTCTGCCAGCACCTGGCATACATATGATACAGAGACATTTACATAGGCAAAACACCCATACACACAAAGCAACAACAATCAATTTTAGAAAAGAAAGTAAGGACCCTATGTCTCAATGATGCTGAGCTACCACATGTACCAACTGTGGTGTGGCCAATGGCAGCCTCCAGGTAAAGCCATCTCAGAGGGAGGACAGAATTCCACAAATTGAATTAACCCTTAAACTGAAGATGAACCAATTTAGGCACTCAGTGAGAGTCCAGAGAGACAGCCAGTTTAGCATTCTTAGATTATGGCGTGAGCTGGGGAGAGGTACCACCAGCTCATTCTGAGGCATACAGCATTCTATGACTTTCTCTTACTGCTGTATCTACCTTCCTTCTTATCAGTTATACACGATACATACATACCTCAAAAAGGAGAAAGATTACTATTTGTAGTTGTCTATGCAATGCTTACTCTCTCAGCTATTGGGCAAGTCCACAGATAGGTGTCATTCTGTGAATTCTGCCGACATATAACACAATTTGCCTACTAGCTACCCATTCATATCATACCATATATCTCAGATGTTCTCCTGTACATATTTGAGGCTCAAGTTTAGTCATTTAACAGTGTTCAATGTTCACTGAAAATTCACTTATACTCCTGAAATTTCTAATAAGAAGATGTCAAATGTCTTTATAGTTTAACATCTTTAGGCTTTTTTTTTTAATCTGCAACATACAACCTAGCACTCCCATAAAGCTAATAGGAAAGTGTGGTCCAGGGAGTGAGCAGATGTCTCAGTGGGTCAGAGTACTTGCTCTGCCAGCAAGGGGACCTAAATTTCAACCCTCAGCATCCACGTAAACAGCCAGGCATGGCTGTGTGTTCCTGTAGGGGGCAGAGACAAATGGATCCTAGGAGCTCACTGACCAAACAACCTAAACAAAATGGTGAGCTCATGCACACACACACATGTGCACATACATGTGCATACACACATGTACACAGGCACACACATGTGCACATACATGCACACATATATATGAGAGGGAAGAGGGAGAATATGACTTTATATTTTCAAATATACATTACATGCGGACTTAATTTCCTAAGTAGAAGTATAATCATAGATTATGCAGCATTAATATAATCTTGCTAAATTAATATATTGCTGAATTATATATATATACATACATTATATTCTATTAATATAGTCTGAATTAATACAGTGCTTGCTTGCACATGCAGTTTACATTTCAAACAACTGTAGACATGGGGTTTATCATGATGGGCTGTGTGCTGAGAAATGTACAATTGGAACAACTTTGGTTTTATGACTCATAAAACATTTTTTAGATTTTTAAAAATTGACTCAATGTGTATTAATAGGGAAACATTATAAATTTATAGCCTCATGCATTCTTTTTAGTTATTCATGATGATTTTACTTGTATTTTAGAGCTTTAAAAAAATTAAAGATTTTCTGGGCCCAGGAAAATGGCTCAGAGAGAAAAGTGTTGATTGTAGAAGTATGGGGTTATCTGTAATCCCAGCTCTGGACTGAGGAGACAGGCAGATTGTGGTTCTTGCTGGTTGAAGCCAGTCTGGTTGAAACAGTTAACTCCCGTTCAAAAAGGCCCTGTTTCAATAGATAAGGCTTTCAATAAAGAAACACACTCAGTGTTGATCTCAGCCTTCAACATGAGTGTGCATATACGAGTACATGATCATAATACACACACACACACACACACACACACACACACACACACAGAGGGGGGCTTTATGAAAGCTGTATCTTGATATATCACACTTAAAAGTCATTTTCACATGTAGGAAATGTAAGAGGCACATCTAATTTTTTTAGTTCTTACTTGTAAAACTTTTGGTTTTAGTTTTTTTTTTTAATTTGAAAATTGTTCATACAGCACAGTTTGAACATATTCTTTCTCCTCCTTCACTTCTCTTCCCACATTCTCCTGGCAACCACCTGCCTAAATTCATGCTTTTCTTCCTCCTCCTCCTTCTCCTCCTACTCCTCTTCCTCCTCCTCCTCCTCTTCCTCCTCCTCCTCCTCTTCTTCTTCTTGCTTAAAAAAACCTAAACCAAACAAACAAACTAAAAGAGCATGTGTACCCAGCAAAACAAATTATAGAGTCTCTTTTGAATTGCTCAACTAATTCTTAAGTATGAGACTTGCCCATCAAAGAAAACTGACTTTTTCTTCTCTTCTAGCAACTGTAAATTCCACTTTCTGTCCTCAGTGTTTGTAGGACACTGAGTGGCTGGCTAGAACGTGTACAGGTCTATGCATACGGTACAGTCTCTGTAAGTTCATACGTGCCTCAGTCCTGTTGCGGCTAGAAAGTGCTGTTTCCTTGAAGTCAGTCATGTCTTGTGGCTCTCACAGTCTCACAGTCATGTCTTCTGGCTCTCACAGTCTCACACTCATGTCTTCTGGCTCTCACAGTCTCAGTCAGGGGTCTTCTTCATAGATCCCGAGTCTTGAGAATCTTTATCTTTTGTGATAAAGATATCACATTTAGGGCTGAGCGTCCAGAGTCTCTCACTGTGCACATTGTCTGTTTGTTGGGTTAATTATCATCTACTGAAAGAAGCAGCTTCTCTGATGATGGTTGAACAGTGCACTGCTCTATGGGATAGCAATGCATCACTAGGAGTCATTTCATTGCTGTGCTCCTTTAGCAGGGTAGCAGCCGGATGTTTACCCTAGGGTCCTTGCCTATCTGGTCGTAGGTTCTTAGCCTCGTCAACAGTGTTGGCAGTGGATTTCATCTTATTGAACTAGCTTTAAATCCAGTTTTTAAAATGATTGGTTGTCCCCCACACCTATTTTTTTGTGCCACTGTTACACCGGTGGGTATGTATTTTAGGCAGGTCACTATTATAGCTTATAAGGTTCATAGCTGGATAAGATTCATGATTTTTCCCCCTTTGGTAGCACGTATAAATTCCTTCTAGCACTATGAATGCTAATCAGCAGGGGTGAAGCTTCTAGTACATCCTAAGCTCATTTATTTCCCTGTCCAATGACATATGGAAGACATATGTGGTGTCTTCAGCAACAGGTTGTGGGGAATAACCAATAGCATTGGCAGTAGCCCATGATGTTCGAGAACTCTTTTGACAATGACTGAAAAGGATAGAACCCAGTCTCAGTCCCAGGGACTCTGTTTGGTAGCAGATGATGCCTATTCTCTCCTCTCATTATCTTTAACTCTTATCTAAATTCATTTTATTCAGGCATGCATTTTAGAAAGCGTCTATAGTAGTTCTTGCATCCCTTATGCAAGACGACTCAGCACTTAAGAGCACTGGGTGCTCTTGTAAAGGACCTGGGTCCAATTTATACCACCCACATTGCGGGTCACAACCATCTCTAACTCAGGTTTCAAGAGACCTTACATTCTCTTCTGGCCTCCATGGGTACTGTATGTATGTAGTACACAGACATACATGCAGGCCAAAAAACCACACCAATACACATAAATTGAACTAAACAAATAGATAACTAATTATAAGAGCATCCAATCATATGAGAAGGTTGTGTAGCAGATTTTAAGGAAAAAAAAGCTTCAAAATGTTATGTTTTGCTTTTCATTTCGCGTGTGTGTGTCTGTGTGTGTGTGTGTGTGTGTACTGCTTGTATGTCAGTGTGTACCTGGAGATCAGAGGACAATTTGAGAGAGTCAGTTGTGTACTTCTAGTGTGTGAATGCCAGGACTGAAGTTAGGTCGTCAGGCTCGGCAGCTAGTCTTTTACCACTGAGCCATCTTGCCAGCCCATTTCCTATTTGTTCTCATTTTCTTTCTTTTTCTGTGTGTAATAGACTAATAGTTTATAAGGAAAAACATATATGATACATGAAAATGGTAAGATACAGGTAACAAATTAAAATTTTCTGATAGAAAGCTGTAGTAAATAAAGCAAAACAAAACCAAGACTGAAATATTTTGAAAAAAATCATTGTGCTGCTCTCGTCACCCAGACGCAGTGCTGGGTGGGGGAGTCGGCTATTCCGCCGTGGGATAACAGGTGGTGGAGCATCGCAGCTTCTATCTTTGTAGAAGCACTAGCTGTCTAGCATATCCCCTCCCTCCTTCCTTCCTTCCTCTTTCCCTTTCTGTAAAATGTTGACTTCGTTTAAAAACCTGAATTAAAGAATTATTAAAGTAGGTATGTGTGAACATGATGCAAGTTTTCAAGTGTGATATATATTCAAGGCTAACCCCCCCCCCCATCCTCCAGCCCTGGAGCACGCGTGGCAACCTGTTACTGAGTTGTCTTCAGCAGCAGGATCCTCTTTAATCAGCATTTTTCTTTTTTTGTTGTAGCGAGTTGCTGTCCTCTGGTTATGTAGAGAGACATATTGAACATGGCGGCAAAGTCGTGGAAAACAAAGTAAGTGAACTTCCTTCCTTTGTGGGGGATCTTTTTTTTTTTAAAACATTTTTTTATTAGATATTTTATTTACATTTCATATGTTATCCCCTTACCCCATCCCCCACCCACCCGGGAACCCCCCATCCCCTTACCCCTCCTCCTTCTTCTCCGTGGATGTAACCCCCACCTACCCCCCCCCTCCCACTTCCCCACCCTCAAAATTCCCACCCCCTGGGGCATCCAGCCTTCATGAGGTCAAGGATCTCATCTTCCACCTGTGCCCAGCAGGGCCCTCCACTCTTACATATTCAGCTTAAGCCCTGGATCCCTCCATAAGTGCTCCCAGGCTGGTGGTTAGGACCCTGGGAGCTGTGGTTGGTTGGTATTGTTGCTCTCCTCATGGTGCCACAAACCCTTTCAGCTCCTTCAGTCCTCACTCTAACTCCTCCATTGAGAACCTCATGATCAGTTCAATGGCTAGTTGTGAGCATCTGCCTCTGAATATGTCAGACTCTTGAAGGCCTCTGAGGAGACATCCATATCAGGCTCTTATCGACATGCACTTCCTGACTTCCACATCAGCATCTACCTTTGGTGACTGCACATGGGATGGATACTCAGGTGGAGTGGTCTTGAAACGGCCCCTCCTTCAGTTTCTGTCCCTCACTTTGTCTCCATATTTGCTCCCTTGAGTATTTTGTTGTTCCTTCTAAGAAGAACTGAATCACCCACACTTGGTCTTCCTTTTTTATGAGCTTCATGTGGCCTGTGAGTTGCATCTTGGGCATTTCAAGGTTCTGGGCTAATATCCAATAATCAGTGAGTGAATACCATGTGTGTTCTTTTGTGATTGGTTTACTTCACTCAGGATGATAATTTCTAGTTCCATCCATTTACCTAGGAACCTCTCGAATTCATTGTTTTTAATAGCTGAGTAATACTCCATTGTGTAAATATACCACATTATTTGAATCCATTCCTCAGTTGAAGGACATCTGGGTTCTTTCCAGCTCCTGGCTATTATAAATAAGGCTGCTATTAACATAGTTGAGCATATGTCCTTGTTATATGTTCGAGCATCTTCTGGGTATATGCCTAGGAGTGGTATAGCTGGATCCTCGGGTAATGCTATGTCCAATTTTCTGAGGAACCGCCACACTGATTTCCAAAGTGGTTGCACCATCTTGCAGTCCCACCAACAATGGAGGAGTGTTCCTCTTTCTCCACGCCCTCGCCAGCATCTACTATCACCTGATTTTAATGGGGATTGCATTGAATCTGTAGATTGCTTTTGGCAAGATGGCCATTTTTATTATATTAATCCTGCCAATCCATGAGCATGGGAGATCTTTCCATCTTCTGAGATCTTCTTCAATTTCTTCAGGGACTTGAAGTTCTTGTCGTACAGGTCTTTCACTTGCTTGGTTAGATTCACACCAAGGTATTTCCTATTATTTGCAACTATTGTGAAGGGTGTCATTTCCCTAATTTCTTTTTCAGTCTGTTTATCTTTCATGTAGAGGAAGGCTACTGATTTGTTTGAGTTGATTTTATAACCAGCCACTTTGCTGAAATTGTTTATCAGGTTTAGGAGTTCTCTGGTGGAAGTTTGGGGGTCACTTAAGTACACTATCATATCATCTGCAAATAGCAATATTTTGACTTCTTCCTTTCCTATTTGTATCCCTTTGACTTCTTTTTG